GTTGCGCTGAACGCTGAGTGGGGCCTGGAAGTTCGAAGTGAGGTGAGGTGATGAGATGGAAGCCGAGCGAAATGTCTTATGTGCATTTTCAAAGCGTTTACGTGGATGTATGCGTTGACTGGATAAACACGCGCAATGATGACTGTCGCTGCTGTAGACGCGCATCTCGGGAGACCAAGGCATATTCTGAGTGCTTGGGCTTGGATCGACTGGAGGACGCGCAAGTTTGTTCATCGGATCCCGCAAAGCACGGGTAAGCGCATCGCATATTACCGAGGTACGGAACAGTGTAAAGTTGGAGCATCGCTCGTACCGATGCACCCACCGTTTTCCAGCAGAAACCTCAGTACGTGGGTGATCATGGTGAGTTTAGTTTTCATGTGGGCGATGTGAGGGCTCCAGGAGAGGTCGCGATCAACTATGACTCCGAGTAATCGGTGGGTCTTCACGTAGTTGATCGTGTGTCCGTTGATTTTAATAACATATGGGCTCATCGCCTTATGCGTGAATGGTATAAGCGAGCATTTCTCTGATGACGGCTCTAGTCCCCGTTCTTCCAGGTACTTTGTCGCTATTGTAGCCGCTCTCTGAAGCCGGGCACGCAAATGAAGGCGTGTTACGCCTGACGCCCAGATGCAGATGTCATCTGCATATATTGATAGATGAACAGAGTCTGGAAGTGCGTCAACCAGGCCGAGTAGCGCTAGATTGAAAAGTGTGGGTCTAAGAACACCGTCTTGAGGCACACCACGACGGTTGCAATGGTGCGTTGTTGTGCCATTTTCCGTCTGTACAAAGAAAGTTCTGCCTTTCAGATAGCTGCCTTTCAGATAGTAAACCCGACCCCCTAATCCAACATTTTCCATGATATCCAGAATGGCTTCATGTGATACGTTACCGTATGCACCTTTCACGTCCAAGAACAACGCCGCAGATAAACGTATCAGTCTTTTTTGATGCTGAACAGATGAGACCAGGTGTATAACGTTATCAATTGCGCACCGCCTACGCCGAAAGCCCGTCATAGCATGAGGGTATACCTTGTGGTGCTCCAGGTACAACTCTAGGCGAGTCAAAATCATCCTCTCCATCACTTTCCCGAAACAGCTGCTAAGCGCGATGGGGGCGATAAGAGGTTAAGTGCGAAACTGTGACTTTTTACTCATATTGGGGGTTCTTTTTCCAATATAAGGCTTGCAGTAAGGTCACTTTAAAAACGAGTTCTATGCACCGGCGTGGCGCAGTGCTAGAATTCTGCGCTGACACGCGGAGGAACCCGGGTTGGAATCACATTGTGTCCTTGGTATTTGCTATTACTAAGTTTTAAATGTGAAGCATTTCTAAGCGAACTTCGGCGACTTTGACCGTAACTATCTAGCCACCTTAGACTTTTAGGATTCCTGGCCATTTGGATTAAGGTATGTACAGTAAGATTGTTTATGGCTTACATGAGTCTATTACGACACAAGTGACTGTTTAAAACCGGAAAATAATGACTTGGGTGCAACGAATGTCATGATTTATATTTCTTCGCCTTGCTGTTCTTCCGAGCGTGTCGTTGCCATGCATATTGCAAAACAGGTATGGTATAAGATCGCTGGATGGCGAACATAAGGGACGGACCTTACGATGGAAATATGATGCGCATGTCATGTAAGTCATGACTACTCGCCACTCTCATAGTACGCTCATGGTCCATGCGCTAGCTTCACATGTACCATATTCGGTATTACGGGACGTGCATGCATGACAAGAGCATATCACTGGTGCAAAACATGGTAATCATGAGGTGCGTGTTATTTAAGGACAACGACTGCATGCCGCACTCATGATGCGCTCGCGAATAACCAATTGAGATATACTTCACATATACCAGCTTCACATATACGAAACTTGCTATTACGTGACGCGAATGAACGACGAAGGTGAATGTCCAAACTGGCAATCATGACATGGTGTCATGTAACACATGACTATAAGCTATGTTCATAGCGCACTGGCGGAAGTTTCGCTAGTTGGACATATACCAAATCAACAATCACGTTACGTCAATAGCCGACGAAGGTAAATGACACGTAGCGCGTAATGCTCATAGCGTGCTTGCGACCATTTGGCTAGCTCCACATATACCTAATTTAGTATCACGTGACGTCAACATACGACGAAAGTACTAGACATCTTCAAACAAGATAATCATTTTCTGCGTGCCATTTACAACTTGAGAATCTGCTAGGCTCATAGCGTGCTCGCGGCGTTTTTTTGCTAGCTCAACATATACCGAATTTTGTATTACGTGACCTGAATAACGACGAAGCTAACTGACACGCTCAAACAAGATAATAATCTTATGCGTGTCATGTCAAGCATGACTACATGCTACGCTTATAGTGCACTCACGGCCATTTCGCTTGTTTCACATACACTGAATTGTTCGACATACACTGAATCACATGACGTGAATGACAGCTAACGTCAATGACACGTCCAAACATGTTAATCATGACAAGCAAGTCTTGTACGGCCCCCTTTACATCCGCTCGTATCATTGTGTTGATCTAAAGAGACATATCAACACTCCTCATTCATGCTTCTCATATCATCGATTCCCACTGTACGTGAAACTTGCCATTATTTTCGTTAGATTCCTTGAGTAAACGTAGCCAATATCAGCTTTTAGGGTGAAGCTTTTCAAAGCCATGGGTCTTTCTCTTATAACTCGTACATGACCACTTAGTTTATTACTCAATCAGCAGATGTGGAATGACGGACGGACGGACATACAGTGATATACGCACTGATGGACAGACGGACAGCCAGAGAGACGGACGGATGGACCGCTGGACGGATTATTCACAGTTTACCGATCATAGCCTCCGATAGTTCACCCCACTCTTACACATTCACTCCGTGGACATGTAAATTTTTTCTTAACGCTCCGGCGTTAAAATACCCAGATGTGTCAGTGTTCCTGGCTAGATATGAAGTGTCAATCATCTGTGACGCATACCCCCATTACCCACGGGTATGTGCCTATGTCTGAGGGGAAGTTTTTGATGACGTTGGCGACGCCTTTGTGACATTGATGTCATGACCAGCGATTCGTCAAACCATCTCGACTTCCCATACTTATTTCGTTTACTCATCTTAAGAAGCAACAAAACCTAGGCGGCTAGGTGATAGACAGATACACATGTAGATAGACGTCAAAAGTGCTCCCAATACGCAAAAAAATGCTACGCAATTAATGCATAACTCCTTATTTTGGCGAACTTTTGAACCAAACGAAAGGCAGAAGTACAAAAAAATTTAAGCTTACTCTGACAGTCGGCCATCGATCATCTGACTACGGAAGGAACGTGTCATTTTTATGAAGCAGTCATCGAATCCTTTAGAATTATGACTTTAGTGCTCACGACCAGATTTCAAACTAACGTGACTGCTCACTTATGGCGTAAAATCTTCGAAGAATAATCTCACACAATTTCGAAGCTGCCCCAAACAATGCGGTGCAATCTGATATGAGCGTTCATACAAGTTTTGTATTTGAACCACGATTACATCATAATAAGGCAATGAGCGCGCATTAGAACGCCATCTAAAAAATCTCGGTGCATTCCCTAAAACCGAGCACGTAAAAAAATTGTGATTGTTTTGAAAAACTTTACAATAAAAAGAGCAAGAAACTGGTGTCCGGAGGCCCGTTAACGCAAATAGAACGTTTTAAGAATGCACCACACTCACGACTTCGAGTCTGCCCGGTGCCGCAAAGAGTCGGTCATTCGTTAGGATAATTCGTATTCATGAGTGTGGATGATCGAGTATATGTACTCTCAAAGAAGCCTCTCGCGTCTGCGTATGGACATCCAAGGCAAGACACGTTAACTAGGTTCATAATCCATGAGGCCTTGTACAAGATTATAATGGAGGTGATAGTACTTCTGTCGGTTATTTATTGAGGTTTGGAGCCTTTTCCGCCCGCTGTAAGTTGGCTGTGACAACGAAGTTTTCGTAGTTAACCACCGTAGTGTCACGGCTTTTCCATTTTTCTTTGTCCGGCACAAGACACGCAAGGTACCCATTACACGACTACGGTAACTCTCACGAAGTAGGGAAGTTTTCACTATGCCATTGGTCACTCTGTTGATAACTGAGGTACCCCCCTACACCCCTGTAAAACATTATTTGCACTTTCGTTTTGTGAGTGGCAGGGAAAAAAAACTGGGTTTCATACTAAACATTTCTGTCTTCCGTCAACGAACTTAACTAGAATGTTCTTTAATTAGCGAAGGGCAACTTTACGAAGAAAGCAAGCTAGGCCGGAGATGACAGTTCCGGAAACTTTGCCACTAAGGCACAGCCGACAAGCTGCTACTCTGGAAGCAAGAGCGCGGCATGCAGTGGCTCAACATCTACGCCGACTAGCGAATACCCCAGAGGCGAGCTCCAGGAAGCATGAATTACTCGTCCCATGGCTCCCGGTTCTGAACACCAGGTGTTTACTCTAAAAGAGGGAGCTCGATAAAAAGAAATTATCCGCTATGCGGCTCCTGCTCATACAAACCAGGCGTGTAGGGCCGTTCCATGCGTCTCCCGCACTGCCACAACGCACGTGCCGGGACGCTACCGCACGCAAGTGGGGGACAAATAAGCCAATTGGCGACGCTGCGGAGGGTGAAAGAGCATCGCAAATCCCGAAAGAGCGTCACAGGGGTCCCGGCACGTGCGTTGCTGCTGTGCGGGTAGCGCGTGTGAAGGCCCTTAACGCTGTTGTTCATGAGCACATGCCATGAGCACATGCCATGAGCGCATGCCATGAGCGCATGCCATGAGCGCATGACAACAGGCAGTACAAAAGGAGAGGCCAAGTAGCGTGTTGAACGTCTTGATAGATGTTCGGACAACGGTTGAATGCATTCCTAGGATATGCAAACAAAATTTTGCGTACCTAACTTTCGGCAAGCTTTTGAGGAACATTTCAAAGTAATGGAAGAGTCGATTCCTCACCTGTGTGCAAGCTCGTGCGCAAATACGAATACACCATAGTAGCTGCCAACTCTTTCTTCGGTCATTCCTACTCTCCACTTTGTACAGGCTCCAGCGAGATATGCAAAACCTACACAAGAATATCGAGTTTTACCTTCTTTAACAAATACCTGATAGCAATGATGATATTTATATGACAAAAAATTATTCTCGCACCCCTAAATCTGTACCTGAAGCAACATGACAAATGATTGTTGTAAAGCAATACACAGAACAGCCCGCAGTGGCTAAGGTACTCGGCTGCTGACCCGCAGGTCGCGGGTTCGAATCCCGGCTGCGGCGGCTGCATTTCCGATGGAGGCGGAAATGGTGTAGGCCCGTGTGCTCAGATTTGGGTGCACGTTAAAGAACCCCACGTGGTCGAAATTTTCGGAGCCCTCCACTACGGCGTCTCTCATAATCATATGGTGGTTTAGGGACGTTAAACCCCACATATCAATCAATCGATCAATACACAGAACAAACAAAATAGTGCGCATGAAGAGACGAAAAACCAAAATTACCGTACCTTGTTTCAGGCCTAGACCAAAACTACGCACGACTGTCTGCATTTAAGATTTAATAAGAACGTGTGAAGTCCAAAATTTTTAAGTGCAAAATAGTTTCATTGGAAGTAGACTTCATGTCTGTTGTATACATTAACAAGTTAAATGCATCTAGACCTCTGTCCCTGTCCCACAATCTTATCTTTAAACTTGTATTGGCATTTTGCTATTTTTATCACTTGTTACGAATTTTGTTTGTTGAGGTATCCATTAATTTATTAGGTACCGCCGACATTTCTGCGAAGTTGTTGGCAGGGGGAGGCTACAGACACATTCAACGTATGTTCTTCATTGCAAGAAACATGGCACGTTACGGTTGAGGGGTTTGTCTCTACCATGGGGAAGACACAAACAACACTGAAGAGCCCATTTTGTCGGCCCAATACGGCCTCAAAACTCTCAGCGCACGGTATGTTTTCGCACTATATTGGTTTATTCTTTGTACCACTTCCGTGAGTCGGCCGAATGGCGCCGAATGCACGTGCTTTCTTTGTAAATTTCCGGACCCTGTACACCTTAGTCTCCTCAAACCTGCTTCATTTCGGCATCTCACAGTCAAAGGTCACTTGGTGGGACGAATCTGCTGGCTTCAAAACACACTGGCTTTCCAGGTCGTTTCTTTGACGTATTATTCTATCTTTTTGTTTTTTTCACGATTTTTCCTGTGAGCTCCACGTTACACTACCACATAGACATGTGCTGCCAATCTCGTGAAGCCGGAAATCGAAAAAACATGAAAAACTATTCATCAAGTGAATATCTGCAGGGTGGTAATATGCATCACATCAGTGTGCGAGCAACAATGTCTTGTTGGCGGTGCCATAAACTCACCTCACCCTCAGAGAAGAAACACACCTTACAGATACTTTCATGGTACTGCGAAACACGCAAGAAGACCACGTTCGCTTGTATTGTGGAAGTAGTAGTCAGTATCAACTAGCTCAGCTAATGGCATTAGTATCCCACGGACATCTGACGCCACTATAACAAAGCAGAAAAATCTTGCAGTCTAGCGTGGCAAGAAAAGTTTTGAAGCGGGGTGCGAGCTTCCTTTTCCCTAATCTCCCTCAACTCGCACGTGGACGCCTATGTTTACTCGCTGCGGACCTGCAGGAGCGTGCCCTTGAGAGTCAAACACAACATACCATTTTATTGACAAGTTGCTAGCGTTTGATTTGTATGAGCTTGTTTGAAACTTTCAAACAATATTCATTACGAAAAATCCTCATTTGGCATGCTCAGGACCAGGACCAAAAGCTTCTTCATGGCTTACCACCCCAGATAATTTGGCAGGAATGGGCTAGCGTGCAGGGCAATGCTATATCTTGTGAAGTCAAACACAACATATCTATTTTAAAATGATTTCATAAGGACGCCCAAAATAGCCCAATGATTTTGAAAAATACGCAACACCGCCACTACAGTAAGTGGGGGGGGGGTATTTGTGACATTACGTAAATCAGACCACACTGTCGCCCAATTTCAACTAGGACCATACCCTAAAGGTAAACGCAAAAATATAGATATGCCCACCTAGACACGTCTAAAAGTACAAGTGACACAAAGCGAAAAATAAACCTATAAAACAATGCACCAACTGTAATTTCAATAATGACAGAATAGTTCACCGGCACCGTACAAAAACAAAAAAACCCAAGGTATTACTTATGTAAGACCAAAAGGCATCTTTAGCAAAATTTCCATATTGTTTGTTTTAACGAATCAAATTGCAGGGAAGCCGCAGCGTCTCCTTGCCATATTTAATGCTAGCGCGTAGAAGAAATCACGTGTGAAGACGGCGAGCGTTATAAAAGGGGTCCGGTGGTTCAATTGAGCAAGTGTCTCTCAAGCTTATCACTTTTTAGTTCCGTGTAATAACGTTTAATAAGACTTGTGTGGTAGTACTATGGTAGGGTTAATAACTTCATTCTGTCAAAAAGCGCGTAAATTAGACTTCCAAGCGGAATATCTTCAATTGTGCGCACTGCCATTCTCTTTATTACATGTAATCTGTGATTGTTCGTTAGAGTTGTCGTAGCCCAAACTAGGTGACAATAGTTTATGGGCGATAAGAACAACCATTTAAAGAAAATAGGTCGACTTTTTCTGGAAGCAGAAAACGCACTCTAGACTGAAATCCGGCTATCCTGGATACGCTCGAAAACAGCTATTGAATGTCGGTGTTGCGTGACATATTTTCGCCAAAAATTACAACAAGACGTTTAACACTTGGTTCTATTCTGAAGTTCCGGGGAGCCTAGTATCAACGGTGCATGCAGAGGGTGAGGTTTATTGCTAGGCCTTAAGGTAACAGCTGTTGTTCTCAAAGTATATTATAAAAAATGTATGTCCAGGAAGTTACCTTCAATATTATTTGGTTTGCACATTTATTAAATGCTTAAATCACTCGGCAGTGAGAAGTGAGGTTCTGCTACCTGCGTTTTCAACACGCTCCACCGATGCGTTATTGCTTACTATATCACTAATATATACGCAGAAAAAAAAGGGGTGCAAGGATACTGCCTTGAGACACACCTGCGAAATTTCTTGTAAATTGGAGGTGTGATCATTGCTGACCAACGTCTGCTGACGATATCTAAGGTAAGATTCAGTCGATTTTAGAATGACACCTCGGAATCTCTAGCGAGTGCATTTAGTTAAGTGAATGACGTGATTTATAGTATCGAAAGCCTTTGAGTACTTTATAATGATTCCTAGTCTGTGTCGTTCATATTCAAAGCATCTAATACGAACTCCTTCTATGCCAAGAGAGCATGCTCAGTTGTGCGGCCTTTCATGAAACCCAATTGTGATAAAGTAAAGGTACGGTACTTATCTAAAAAGGAAATTATATATTTACGAATAAGTTTTTGAAACCTTTTGATATTACTGGCAGTATAGATTTAGGCTTGTGGTTGCGGCATGCCGCCTCATGTTGGCGCCATGCTCTATAGGCTGCTAAACATATGCTGCTCCTAGGCTAACGCACCGAGAAATCACAGTAGGACAGGCCAACTGCACTTCACCACGCTACTGAAAGTTGTTTCATGCTGTTACCGAATTTCTTCCCCCCGTGTCATCTATTAGGTGTAACTTTCAGCGCACTCATCGGCACGAGCGTTTTAAAAGACCGAAGCTGTTGAAGCTCCTTAGAACTTTATCTTACCCTATTCGTTGTTCATAAATTCAGTTAAGATTAACAGTGAACCATTAAATGAGGCAAGAGACTCCGATTGTGCGGTTATTCTATGGTTTATTTTAGAAAGTAGGTAAAGACCACTCCTACCACTATGATACTTTCACTCTACTCGTCCAGGTTCTAGCCTGGAAAACAGCTGGTTTCGCAAATCGAACACTTCAGCTGAGCCACTACCATCTCAGTTCCTTTGATAAGATCAGCGTCTACAAAATTACTCATAATTTGCCCGCAAGATTCAAGAAAACTCTCGCCGATGACTTCGCTGAAGGCTTCTCCAGCTCATGAGCGCGTTATATCCCCCACCTATGCTGCAGGCATTTCCTAGTCGCGAGTAATCACGATACATTATGTAGAATATCTGACTTCAAGGACACTTTCAGATGCCTTGCAAGATGAAGTGTGGTCTACAAGACAACGCCGTGGTTTACAAGATCGGACGGACTCACTGTGATGCCGACTTATTACAAAGTGCGCTATTTGAAGTTCCACTGCATAGTGATATTGACATATGCAGCTTCTTAAAGATCATAAGAGCTGACGACTGCGGCAAACAACAGCACAAGGACGTGCGAATAAGAAGCCTAGCATAGTATATGGAAAGCTGTGATACCCAAGAAGCTCGGGCGAGGACTAGTGTCTTTTTTTTTTGCAAAACGGCGTATTTTTAAAAAAGAACGTTCTATCCTGAACAAGCTACCTTGTCGTACGTTCGCCAATCTGACCAGAAAATTTGCGGGCTCTGCACAACAGCACGATGCCTGTCCTCTTGAGTAATTCACACTTGCTCCTTAGGATACACGAACTTCGCTAATGACCACCTCTTATCGTCAGCGGCGCCAATACATGAGGACTTTCTGGAACTTTCAGACGTCTGCAAATAACTGGGTCATCTTGGCTACCAAGAGCCTTATCCGCTACGCCGAAACTGGTGCCTTGGCTCTAAGTAGTGTCACTGATGCAGTTAAACTTGTCATTCAGAGCACTTTACTGCATTTAAGCGATAAGAGTATGACTTTTACGGCTCACCCAATGCAAGTGATTTGGAAATACATCTACGAATCTCAGCGAAGGACAACGTGCGAGTGAGTGGCTTCTCCCAGATTCTCAATAAAATCTTCGCGCACATGCCAGCAATGCAGGTAGATGTCACACACAACACTTGGAATATCATCCTTTTGTATGTAACCTTGACTTAACCCACGGACGTGCAAAAGTCAACCTATCGTACGTCGTTAACGCTGGTTTGACGGAGGCGCTCGGCAACGACGCTTCGCGCCATTACTTAAAACGTCACCGACAAAAAAAATCTCGACGTTGTTGCTGAATTGAAACGCGGTGAAGACGCGTGGAAGGTTCCACACCTACA